ACTGAATATTTGCTGTCTTTATTGTTTATATCAAATAAATCATTTGTGTTTGTATTATTCATCGATAATGATGAATATTTTTTTATAATTTTGTTTTAAATAAATTTATAACTTTTTAATGTGTGAGGGTTTATTCGTCGATAATAATGCACGTCCAACGTCGTACCACTTCGACAATTCAACGCTATTCATATTATAAGTCACATTTGCTCAACGGCTCAACAGCTTACAGTTAATAATTATCACTGGCTAGAGTTCGTTTCTAGTCAATGTTTGTTTCCTTTTTGGAGATGAACATAGGTGTTGTCTTCGGATACACCCCAGAGTACCTAACTGGTGATGGAAGCAACACGACGCGCCCATGGATCCACATGTTCGTCACGTCTCGTACGTACGACTTATGGGTCTGCCCAGTTCGTGCATGGCCACGCGGCCGCTTCCCCCACCACCAGCGACGGCCTCTGTTCGCGCGCGCGTAACTATACATATGAACGAGGAGAGGCTAGTAAAAGAAGTGATAGCCTAGTAAAAAGAATATTGTTTGAAAAAATTATTCTCGAAAAAAAATATTCACTTCTTTATTGAGCTGAAAGGAAGAAACAATTAAAGTTATTTTTCAATTGAAAATCGTTGAACTCGATTATTAACGTGGTCAACAACATATAGATTGCCATGTCGATCGAATGACAAACCTTCCGGACGACTCAGCTGATTTGCTTGTTGTCCAAGGCCCTTTCCACCAGCAATCACATCTCTTTGTGTCGCTCCTTTGTACCAGCGCATCACTCGATCATTCTGCTTATCTACCACATAGAGCGTGCCCAACTGATCGACGAACACTCCTCGAGGATCCGACAATTGTGTCAGACCATTTCCTTCACCTCGTCCACCCGCGACGACAATCCCTTCTTTCGCATCCTTCATCCACTTCATCACACAATGATTCTTCCAGTCCGAGACGTAGACAGAATAATCTCGATCGACAAAAACGTACGTGGGCCAGTTGAGTTGATTGGGACGACCACCTTGTCCATTTCCACCTGCCACCACTGTTCCACTCGTTTGTCCCACTCTATATCGTTTTACTTCATTCGTGACCAAATGGGAGACGTAGAGAGATCTTTCATCGTCCATCGTCAATCCCCAACAAGAGATATTCTCGATGATAACTTCTCCACTTGTTCGATTTCGTCGAGACCAACGCATCACTCGTCCATTCCCTCGATCGCAGATGATGAGATCGTCTGTCTCTTTGTCGATAATTACATCTTGTGGCTGATTCAACTGATCAGCTCGATTTCCTCGTCCGTTTCCACCGGCTACTACTTTACCACTCATTCCACCAACCTTCCATTCCACAATGCGGTGATTGTCTGTATCAGCGATGTAAACCGTTTGATCATCATCCACATAGAGACCACAAGGCCAATGGAGTTGATTCAATGCATCTCCTTGTCCTTTACCTCCAGCGATAGTAACTCCGTTCTCTGCCCATCTGGCATTCATGGGAATATTCGGAAGTATGACTGCAACATACAAAAGAAAGAAAAGGTTGCAAGAAATAATACTGGGTGAATTTTAATACATCCTAGTGGATTTCTCGGAAATTTTCATAAAACTTTGTTAAGATTTCCTGGAACCTCCATACTTTTTGTACAACTCAATAATTTTTTCGAAGTTTTAGAAATTTTTCGAAACATTCGCAATTTATTCTGACCCTCGAGAGATTTCAGGAAATCTTTTTATGCTTTCTCCGATACTTTTATCATCCAACCGTTCATTAAATCTTTTTTAATTGACTGAAGTTTCATCAAATTTTACCACAGATTTTCGTGACTACAAAAGGTATTTTAGGAACTGTATGTAATCTTGTCGAAGTTTTTCAGTTTTTCTTTCTATTTTTTGGCATCTCCGTGTTTTATTTTGCTGGATTTTCGTTGAATTTCTTTCGAATAATTTGAAGCTGATGTTGTTAGAAAATAAATATCATAGTTTACACTCAGGTTATATTCGAATATGAAGCGATCATGTTTTGACAAACAAAATACGATTAATGTGAAAAGGAACAAAAAAACGCAATCTAACCCATGCCACCAAAATCGTCACCATTTCGGTGACTTTGAAAAAATCGGCGTAAAATTGTGAATAATCGAAATTTCGCCAGAAACACCGTTAGCTAAAACAGTTTTTATCACGATTATAGAGTCACTAATTTCAATATTTATTAAACTAATAGTTAAATATAATTTTGACACAATTATTTAACATAGTTATAAAGATTTGAAACCAAAAGAAAGATTTCATTTCTACATGGATACAAAATTTGTTTTAGGTAACTTAGTTTATTGATGATATATGTAAACCGAAAAAACTTGAGTTTTATTCTATCTAACGATGTCTTGAATCATCATCGTATGTAGTTCTATGCTTGTCATTTAGAATTTTTATTTATTTTCTTTTTCTTAAATTTTTTATTTCTGATTGATTACAAATACACGTAGAACCTTATTCAAGAAAAATTTAATTTCAAAACTAATTATTACATATGAACGTTTTACTGTACTTTTTCATTTTCTTTCGAATATCTTATCGTCTAACTATGTAAAATTGCATACTGCGTTTTTATTAAACAATTTGTTCATTTTTAAACAAATATATTCGGAAAATTAAATTAATAGTAAAAAATGTCGAATGTGAGAAGTACATATGCACAATATCGCATAGAATATCGTTGAACAGAGGCGATCCTGTTTTAGACTCCAACAGACGCATCAGTTTTTAAAATTAGTTAGAGAAGCTTCTTCGTGGGTCCATTTTATCGATCGAATAGAAGAAAAATCTATTCAAGTCTGAACTATTCGATGTGATCTTACATGTTCTTTAGATTTGACTGAAGAACACATGAAGAAAAACGTTTTTTTTGCACTGAAATAAAAATTCCCCATGCCATGAGAATCGCGTCGATTTTTACCGCGATTATGGAAAGAGAGACGATATTCCATAATCGGTGAGAAACCAGATGATAAATCGTTATTTAATCAATGTTTTTCGGTAATAAGTTGTAAAATTGTCCATTCATCAGAAAGACTCTGAAATCTATCAAACCAACGATGAAATCGTGTTCATATGCAGTTTTTTCACATACTTATAAAAATTTGAGAAGGAAAAATAGATTTATCTTCTGAACAAGTGACGCTACTGCGACGTGAAAAGGATTGGTCAATTCAAGTGCCTAGTTCTAATGCAAAACATTCTTTCAAAATCGAGAATTATTTTATGCTATTTCAAGCCAATTTTTTTTAGAGTAGAATTTTCCCTTAAAGTTGCTTTCAAATAAATGTTTACGGTGCTGACCAATGTCACGTTGAAAAATTTACGTTTCTCCGTTCATTATTAGGTCTTGTGCCGTTACAAACAAAAAGCAATCGTGCAAACAATGTTCTTCCATCAACTTATATGAGTGACTTCATTTTGTATCAGTTTTCTATATTTTCCTCAGGTGAAATAGTATACATACTTTGGTTTCTGAATAAAGTATTCAAAGAATTCAATTCAATTTAAGGAAGTACTAGGTATGTCTATAGAATCAAGATTAAACGCGTCAAAACGTGCCTATGATCAAACGATAAGGAAGGAAAATCGATCGAAAAATCACGATCAATTGCAAAAGTTATCAAAATTTTCGCAAAAATCTGCGATTTATCGCATTTCAGCTCATGATTAATCACTAATTTATTAGTGAATTCAAGGACATGGATTAAGACATTGAAAATTTAAAGATCAGATGGTACTATTGGACTTGATTGATAGATTGCTTCACCAACAACCGGAACTCGTAATGCAGCAGCTCGATTTACAACAGATATTGTTCAAAAAAAACCAATATCTAGAATCATACCATGAAACTTATGGCCACGAGATAGCTGAGCAAAGCCTCTTAGCATAGATCATGAAAGGTTTTCATTCACATTTAATTTACTCTTACGTTGACGAAATTCTCGCCACCCATAATTTCTTAATATCCCAGAGTTTCCCAAAACTGGCTTCATAAATCAAAACAAATGTAGAAGTTTTCAATGGAAAGTTCTATTAATATAGGAATTATCGATCTTTTGACGATCATTTTCAACCAGTTAACAAGACTATAGATGTTACATACAAAAAACGAAAATATAAACAAATAGAGAAACATTAACTTTCAATAAACTTATATTGCCATATCGATGAAATCATCAAATAAGTTTTTTGTTTGTAATATCTATAGCCTTGCTATTCGGTTGAAATTGATTGTATAAGATCGAAAATTCCTTTATTACTGTTAAAATAAAAAATTCCTTTACAAAACTTCTACGTTTGTTTTGATTTACTAGATCGCAACAACATTTGAGCACTTTTTGGTACTGACTCTTTTTAGTGGTGCTCATATAGATTTATAAAATACGGTAGAAATTCAGATGAGAGTCGTACACTGTCAAAAAACAAAAGGCATCGGATGGACTCTTTTTCTCAATACTACTTTCTAAATATTTTTCCCATTCTAGCGAACATGTCTAGAGCTGAGAGAGGTGTAAGACCTCACCTTCTCTCCTCTGTGTGTCAATAGAAGTACAGTACTATGCAGCTTGATTAGTTTTAGAGATTACTGTGGGATATCGCCATAATTCATGTTGATATTCAATGGTAGGTAAATAAAATAGAGAAAAAAAACAGTTTTTGCGATTGTCTCCAAACCGGTTTTCGTGTCAACGGTCAATCTGCGCGCAAACTTTTCTTCAATGCATTTTATTCTGGAGGGCTAGAGCTTTCTTGATTTTTTTAGTCTATGTTGATACTCCTTCGAATTAGGAGAACGGATTTTTTAAAACTAGGCTTTTTTGTAGGAAACATCGTTTGTCTGGAAATCTTCTGATGACTTTTCAAGGTTTTAGACATTTTGATGGTTTCAAACTTAAGAGAATCATAATAAAAAATTTTCTTCCCCTCATCTGAAACCAAGGGGGAAACGGCGGACTTTTGGACTTGAAGTTACTTTGAGCTACTTTAAGCTACTGCAAGTTACTTTCAGCTACTTGAAGTATCTTACTTTGAAGTACTTTTCAACTTCAAATTTACCTGAAGTTACTTGAAGTTACTTTAAGCTACTTGTTCCTACTTTGGACTACTTGGGTGGTACTTTGAGCTACTTCAAGTAGTCTACTTTGACGTACTTTGGCGTACTTTTCTACTTCAAGTCCGCCGTTTCCCCCTTGTCTGAAACAGTAAACACTTCTCTTTCAAATAAAACAATCGTGAGCCCTGTATTTAATAGTATACTGAAAAAGACTTTGTACAGTCGAAAGGCCAATTTTATACTTTTCTTTCCAGAAAACTTCCGAATGCTAGCGTTTAGAGAGCTGAAAACACTTTCATGACTTAACCTTTATGAGCTCAACATTTATGGAAAATTTCAGAGGAATGCCATGCACTGTAGCAAAAATCCATTTTGAAGAGGAGCCGAAGCCTTAACCAGAAAGTATGGAACGTCTCTGAGTTCTATGCTTGTTGGCTATAAAACTAGAGTAGATTTAGAACATGGTACTCAACGATAGAACCAAAAAAGAGTTCTATTCAACATCTTCCTCTACAGTGTACTGTTCAAGTGGGTAGGTGCATCATCAGTGCACCAAATTATGTCCGATGGTACTAAAAAAACATTGTGTTGCGGAGATGGTGCTGTGATGCTCATAGCGATGTGCAGTTTCAGTTTACTGATTGTCGACGTCACTGACATCAGTATTCCGGCGTTTAAGCCAACACTATACATCTCTAGTGCAAGCAACAAAAGTAAATCTAGCTTTAATAGAAGAGGTCTAAATAGATGCGAAAAGTGAATGTCATGCATATCTTTGAAGGCGTCCTCATCATTTACAATTTTCGATTCTCTAAATTCATGATATTTTCTGGAAAGATAGATGTGCTCATTCCATTTTTTTTCCTAGACCGTTAAGATTCAAAGTAAAAAAAGGTGATTACTTTAGCATAGGCGGTGTCTCAGTGTTGCACTCATACTGTAGTCATTGGTGTTCACTGAGTATCACCATCAAGGACAATAGTGTCAATATTTCAGTGTTTACATCAATACGGCTTATCTTTACAAATCGAAAAACGAACCTCTCGAATAAAAACAGAAACTCAGAGAGGCTTGAAGATTTTGCAATCTTTGAAAATGATATATGCATCAAAAATGACTTGCATGAAATATCTAGAGAAAAACTGGAGATATTGCTGTTTTTCAAACACTGATAGGTATTCCTTTCATTGAAATGATCAAATCTCAATATAACTGAACATTTTGTGCATAGTTGCCATTCTACCAATACACTACGCAGGTAGAGCTGGTTTTCTTTACTCTCTGCCTCCTAAAAAGTTTATTTTTCAATTCGGGAAATTTTGTGAATCTGTCAAAACCTAGGGTCGGGACAGTTCCTTTTTTGAAAACAATAACTCCTACTAAAGAGTTTCTAGTACTTTTACAAAAAAATTTCAGTACTGCTGCAAGTAATATGTCATAAAACGTGGCGATCGAGTGATTCTTTATGAAAAATGCAAAATCTGAGTCAAAATTAGACGCCTTTAGTTTTCCACTGAGAATTCTCTCCACATGAATACTAGTGTTCATGGCTTTGACCACATGTTTTTCGTCTATGTCAATATATACTGTCCATATCAGAGTGACGTTTTTATTTTTATGAAAGGACAACCCTTTGTTCGATATTTGACTGTGTCTGTTGATGAAGTGAGATATGTACTATCTATCTATCATCATTGTTGAACTTGCTCGTAATATTAGTAACACATCAATAGGGACTGAAAACTGCGTCTATGAGGAGAAAATACGAAGTTTTTTCCACTCATGACCACTAGACACAGTGATACCATAGGATGATCAGTGGATTTTTGAGATAAGAGAGATATTGGTGTTTTGCAGTAGCCCTGTGACCAAAATAGCAGGAAAGAGATCTAGCTTTCTTTTGAACGAGCGAAGAAGGTGCAATTCTTCTCTCTTTCATCCTCTCTCTAGAGTTAGCGAAGCAGATGTGTTGCATACATTCATACTAATTTTCATTCACCCTCATGTTTGATCGATAAGTAACAGCTTAGTAATTTCAAACATCGGAGCCTCGGTGGCGACGAAAATAGACATGTGAATTCTCATAAGTTTCCATGACTGTGACTGAGTGAATGGGATTACACTTGTAGACGAATATTCATAATTCAAGTGGTTACTGACAATTCCTAGCTTTTCTATAGCTGTCCGTTCAATTTCAAGAACAACTATCTCATTCTATTTACATATGTATGAATGAAAGGAAGACCGCAGGCGAAAGTACGCGTGTTTTGAAGGTGTCTCCGGAAATGAGAACAACTTCAGATGAGAGTCGTCATTTTCTCATGGTTTACTCAAAAACGTGCACGATTTTCGAAAAATAATTTTCTAACTCCAAATAATAAGTGTCCGATAAATATCTTGTCGACGAAAAGAATTCAGTAGCCCTACTCTGTCTCAATCAACCGGCTTGTTTTTTTCTCAATTAAACAAAGCCTTTAATGTTTGCTGTATTAAAACCGAGTAGAGATAGTTCTTTGAAGTACCACTATCACACTGAGTAATGTGATGTAACTTGTGTGATGTAACTTGTTTTGATTTCTTAAAAACACTTTTAAGCAGGCGTGGTCTTTTTTTTTGAGTTTTTCTCTTCAGACTTTCCTATTCTCAATACAATCGTGATCTAGGATTCTAGTCTGAAACTTTGCCGAAGTTAAGGTCTTACTGAGGTTAACTCGTCTACGATATCTCAAAAGTTTTCGATGTAATCTCTCTTAGAGATGATTTTCTCGAAATTTAGACGTTTCCTGTGAACATTGTATAAACAATGCCGAGATCAAATCAAAGCCTCCGAGATTTTGTAAACAGGCTAATCTAAGTGAGATGTTAATGTCGGCAAAATTTATAAACTACAATTGCATTGAGAAGTGGCAGATCTGGAGAAGAAAATATCTTCGACAAAACTCAGAAAGAGCACGAGCGCTTTTTGAACTGATTTAGCCTCATGATTCACTATTAATCGGTAAAATATTGAGCCGACAGCATTTTTCAGAAATCAGAATAGTCTAGGTTTTATTATACCACTAAATAGTAATTTTTGATATGACAACAAACTTTGTGGTCAGTCTTATCGAGGAGACAAAAAATTAACCTAGCTAATAGATGCAGAAGGAAGCCATTGAACTTGAATATAATATTCTTTGTAGAAATGCTTTAAGCTTTTCCCTAGAATCATAGATTTTCATCTTCATGATTTTTAGTCCGAAATTACGATTGTCATCACTCTCAGTAGCAGCTAGCTAGATGTAGATGATCTCTGTCATGTAGATTGAAAAGTCTCAGCCCTTCGAGAATTTGTTTCGCTCATCAGTATCAGGTTTATGTATGCTTGTAGAAGTGTGTATTCTACTAAAAATGTTTGATGTTCGAAGCTTCCGACTTTTGTTCGTACAAAATAATCTCTACTAATTATCTTAGATACGAAATCTCTATACTCCTCAGAGTCTCACTGCTTTGTGACACATCTGTTGGTAGTTTTCTCGCTGTTAAAAAATTTTCGCTACACGGGCTGAGTCAATATTTGACGCTATGTCAGATCGTAGAAAGTGTGTTCGATAAAATGTTACTCCTAGGAGGAATCAGCATTGAGCACAAAAGCAACATACCTTGTTTCGTTGGTGCTGGAACGGGTTTCGGTTGTGGTGGCTTTGCTGCATCTGAAACAAGACAAAATAATATTATTATGCTCTGAGTAAGTCTCTTATAAACAGGAATAAATTCTTCTCACGATCAAATGAAGTATTTTTTTGATATTTGAAAATAAGTGATACAATTTGTTTCGTGAGTGCTCACACGAAATCTTCAATCACACTTGCCGATAATGACTTATGTTCTTATCACGTCTGCACAGATTTTCTTTCCGATTAATTCTTCTATTATAAAAAAGAGCATCTTAATTTGTACTGCCCATCATCAGTATCTTGAGAGTGTGGATGTTCCTAGGTGACTTGTCTTCATCTATACCCACACTGGAACCCTCTCATTATATCGTTTTCTATGCTAGAAACTGAAGCATCATCTATGAAGAGATACACTGCTCAGGTATCTCACATTTGACTTCAGTTTCCAGCATTTTGCTCTGCCGTCGACAGAAAGATAGGCAATAGATATTTCTAGAAGATGTAATCAGTCACAGCCTTCATTTTTAGAGCATTCAAGCTCTCTGCGAAGAAAAATAACTGCAATTATATGTGATCGGCTGGCATTGCCTTCTGATCATTCGAAGTTGCAGTATTCATTGAGAAAATAACAAGTGAGAAGCAGTGCAATTGGACTTTTGTCGACTTAATTCTGCTATTTCCGTTTTATTAAATACTACCTCTGCGCCTACGATTCGTTTATTATTTTGTATTGTCTCACACTGGCATTGCTGTGTCAGAAGACTGTTACGTCTCGGTGGACGCACCATGATTCTACTTACGTCATTACGGGTACCAAGTACAGCTGTTAAGTAAAAAGTACTTGAACTTGTGCTTCATGTACATGTACTGTCACGTTGATCATTCAGATCGAATACGCTCGCACAAGTGTTTTATCTCAAAAGAGTCTACAACGGATGCGATGGAAATAGCCTTAACATTGAAAAGGTAATGTAATTCTTGTTCATAAACATGAGCATATGTTTTGAATAAATCATGTTTTAGCTCGTAAATGCGCTGAACGTAGCAGACGCTTCAAAAAGTGCGTTTAAATATGAAAATACTGCAACATGTTGTGTCTCTTTCGCATCGAATAAAAAACAAACCTAGATGATTCACTTTCCTCTCACTCAACGCATGGCAGTGCTATGAAAAGTGACCTCAGCAAAGAGCAAACTTCTACAAGAATGTTCCGAAAATTTCTTTCACTCATATCCACACCCAATTAGCCACGCCTTCTTTATCTACGAATTACATGTGTACCTGACAGATGAGTAGTTCAAAAATTTGACGTCAATACTCCTCAGAGTTAGAAAAATATACTGTTACGTGGAGGAGGTTGCACCTTCAACGTCGAAGGTGGAAGGAGTAACTAGTACTATATGAGTTAACTAGTTGTAAATATGTTGGAGATTAAGATGGACCAAGAATAGGAAACTTTCAATCCATGACTCAGCGTACATTGCAATCGTTAGTGGAATATGGATTCAAAGTGCGAGCACTGTTCTACGGAATTCGGATTGGAGTCAAACGAACATTGAGTACACGAAAACAAGACTACAAAAAAAATGGTTCGCTATGAGGACAAAGAGGATGAGACACTTCAATTACGGTCTGATGACTTGTGAACTCTCAATGATAGTAATGTCGACAACATATTCACTTTATTCAGTCATGTAGTGAAATTCTCCATAAGCTCTACATGAGAGATAATGACGCCATGTGGAATTCAACCTGTCCTCAATTCATGAGCGCCAATCATAATGATGCCATTGATTGACCAATGTGATTTCAGGACGGCAGTTGTGTTGATGCTCCGTCAAAGCGTTAGAATTAATTAGGAAGAAATACAACCTCTTTTAGATTGGAAAAAATCGAAAGTCATCGAGAAATGCATTAATTTTAAAAATCTGCTGATCTCTTTATCCTATTACTCTGAATAGAGCAAATTAAACTAGTGCAGTCTAATCGAAAAACTTGGTTGCAATCAATGCCTTTACATAGCGCACAAATGTATCTTTAAAGATAAATTTTCTGTAATTGGTGCATCATCAATTTAAAACAGCTAATACCTATACTTTTCTCTCTTTGACTAGATTCACTATAGAAAACTGCTGTATTCCCTATGAGTACTGAGGTTCTCGATGAAAGACTATGGCAACCACTCAGAAGTAGCAAAACAGCTTTGACAACCATTTCTAAGACCAGAAAAGTAGAGTTTAATCGCAACTGTTCGTTCTCTGAGAGGTACTACATTTGCTTGAAATACGTTGATACAGAAATTAAGAGTGCCGGAATAAACAAAATCCTTTCATCCCGATGCATCTTGCATACTGATCTAACAAGAATGTAGGTTTGGATGTGTGTAGGATTTTCTATTTAGTAAGAGTTTTTCGAAGAATGAGGATTTCACGTTGCAACGAAATACTTCATGTACACATGAAGAAAATCTAGTAAAAGTGTCAAGCAGAATACCAGTGGTAATTTGAAATGTGCTCGAGTCAGTGGATATTCAGCACTCGACTAGATACTCGAAAAGATGCGACAAGGCATATTGGTCATAGTGATCACGTCAAGGTTCGAAGTTTGTGTAAGCTGGATAGAAAAGTTCTTAGAAATATCAAGTGATAAAAATGACGAGAAATGCTCCTTCATGTAACAACGAATGAGTGATAGAACCAATTGAAGTGTTAAATGTTACATACCTGATTTCGGTAATTGTTCGCCTTTAAATTGGTGTGAAGCATCAAATGGCTTCACCTTAGGTTTGGGTACAACTGGAGCAGGTACGTGTTCGGGAGTCTTTGGTGCATCTACAATAAGACAAATAATATCATCATTATCTTTACGAATTCATACTGGCAATAAGAAAACTGTCAGTTCTTTTCGGCGACTATGCACTGTTCCATCTACTATGAATAGAGTAAGAGAGTGTAACAACAGGAGCCTCCATCCTTTTTTGATCGTATTTACTAAAGATAGGAGGACATGGGAAATTTCTGCACATCATCTGATGAATAGTACACGATCAAGAATACTGTTGTGAGATTCCAGGTTAAAGGTCTACGAAGCATAGCTCAAAACTGATTGTCACACATTCAACTTGAGCGGTACAACTCGTAGATATGAAAATTATACATGAATGAAGTGCATAATATATTTTTGGGGTCAGCTCGGTTGAGAAGAGTCTAAGTTCAGTTGAAGATGTGAAAGTGAAGCATGTGCCGGCAAAGACAAGAAAAGTTGCACGAACATCAATACTATCATACACATACGTATATCAATTTCATATCTTTTGTTAATTGCATAACGATGAGCGAACCAATGTTTTGTTTTGTATATATTTTAGAAATGCAAGAGAAATTAAAATAACTATTTTATAGTCCTAGTCACTAATGCTCATATTTAATTTATTTATTAAAGCATTTAAAGAGTGTGTAGGTGCGAATATTCTCAGTGAGAACAGTAACACTGGCATTCACCCACAATTAATTTCAAGTGTATATTCAAGCTGTATGTATGAGACAGAGTTGTTTTTTATTTCACTAATTTAAAACTCAATCAAACACAAGTTTTATTCAGCTTTTCAATAAATAATCAGAATCGGTTACTTTCAGAGTGCAGTATGGGTACAAGAATGAGAGAAACTTTGTAAAAAATTACTTTTGATCATATATTGGTTATGATTCATAACTTGAGTTTTTAGCATAAGACATAAGTGAAAAATACAATTAATCCAACTTTTTCGATTTCATAAACTCAAGCAATCAATGCCAATCAAAACGTTAGTATTTGTCTATCTTGTTATGTACTGAATAACGAATTGTTCTTGAGTTCTCACTTAACCTTGTCTTTTTAGAGTCGAAGTTTAATCCGACTAATTTGAAATTTCTTAGAGTAGAGAAGTTACTATTACGTTATCATAGAGAATGGAAATATAATCTATTTGAGTTTTCATCCAGAAGAAGCCATGTTAGAAAGAAAAATCAAATTTTAAAATATGTAGAAAACACTTACAGAATCAAATTTCTCAATCCCTGAAATCATTGATACAGTTGTCTAAGAGGTCCTCACGTTCAGAACATACAAAATCCGCTTTCATAATAAAATTGAATTCATACTTCCTAGGAAATATTCTATTCAACTAATTTGTTATCTGGAATACAAAACAGCAACGGGTAACTCATAAAGAAAATGTGAAGTTAAAATGATTTATATATATTTTTAATCCTAGAAAATCCTTTCAAGTCTACCAAAAGTGCCACGATTTTTGGGAAAACAGTTTGAATCATTAGTATTTGGAAAATAAGACTTAATGGAAGACTTCTAGAAAATTTATGTACTTGAATCTAACATTCCATCTGATACCTTCTATTATCAGAGATGGAGATGAGGTTTTATGTATTTAATTATATATAAATGAATCTGTTTTTTCGCTTAATATCTATTTTTACTTTATTCATCTTACTTTATCGTGGATTTAATTGAGTGTTACTTAAATACATTTTCCTCTAAAAAATATATAACTGGTTTGCTAATATTCTATTTTTCTTTGACAAACAGGACAAGAAACTACAAATACTTTGCTTATTACCTATGACATCTATTTTTAATTTACTTGTTTTGCGTTATATATCCAAGCGTTGATCTAAACTACAACACGTTAGCTAACAACGGAATCGAACCATGTATTATCACTTTATAAAGCTATAGGCAACTATAGAAATTTAAAAGAAAAAAATGTGTAGAATCTTCTTAAGTATGAAGCATTTTATTTTCCACAAAAAGAAGTTTATTGAAATTTATATCGGTCGGAAAAAAATGGATTATTTTACAAATAAATTATCTGAATGTAAATGAACAACACCTAACCAAGGTGCCGTATTGAAATTATCTCAGATAAACTAGAAAACAAATAGCAATTTATTGATGGATAATTTTCTCATTAACATATCACTAGTTCAGAATAGTTCAGTCATGTGTCTTGTGTTTTTGATGAAATCACATACAAGTTCTTCATAAATTACGTCGATAAAAATTGATGCAAGAAGATCATACCAAACTGATTTTAAAATAATGAAACCAGCATATGCGAAAGCATAAGATGTTGGTTTATGACTTGAAAAACCGAGAAATCATCAAAAGTTACATTTTTTTTCAGTTTATTAGATTAGTCTTCATCTTTCATGTATTTTTTCATCCAAAACTCCGGATAAGAAGACGTTTTGGAAGGCGGTGGTGTGTGTTTTTTTTTAATGAATGATTTTCTTTCCATTAACTGTGAGTCAAAATAATGCTTCAAACTATCACAAAGCATGTCTACCATCGATTTTATTCGCTAATATCATTAAATGTCCTCAGAATCTGATTTCAAATATAAATTATCGAGATAAAAAAATTAAATTTGACTATTTAATTTAATGAGAAAATCATCAATCGATGAATGGTTACCTCTCTGCTAGTTGATCTGAAACAACATCAATACGACATGCTCTGCGCTAAAATCATTTGACATATAGTTTTATTGTAATATGAGAATTTTATGTGAATGATATGAGATAGAATTAAACTTGAAATCACAATAAAACTTCCAAATGACTTTAGACATAAGAGAAAAACAACAGAAGCTTAAAATAATACTGAAAAACATTCATTTCTAGTCGAAACGAAGAATAAGTTTTCACTAAAGATAATACCAGATCATTAGAACCTACTTTTTCTACCAATAAAAAGTTTGACAGTATGTTTTTAGCGACATTAACATTCCATAGTTCATGTGAAAAGAAAATGTTATTGTAAATTACGTTTTATATTTGTTAGTTTATTATTCAATATCTATAAAATTGTTTATAAAAATTGATCATTTTTAAGAGCATATTATCATGCTATTATAATCGTAAAAGATGACATATTGAAAAAGTATAAATTGATAGCTGACAAAGGAAATAATTTTTCTTTTTATGACATGAATAATTTCATGATTTTTTGTTAATTAAATTATCAATGGAAACACGAAGAAGTAGTAATTACCTTGAAAAAGAAAGAGACTAATAAAATCCACTCAAAACCTTTGAATTTATATTTCAAGAGACTATTTAAGTACACAACAGTGGACAAAGAGTGAATCACAAGACACATAAAGATGTGTTTTAAAATAACGTAAATCTTTATAGTTGAATGAATCTCTATTCATATTAATATGATATTTATAAAAGAATATGAGAATAAACTGTCTAAGTTATTATTATTCACATATGTCAGTGAATAAAACTATTAGATGATGGGGAAAAGATTTAGCACCATTGTAGATAATACTTGAACATTTTTTTGGAAATCAATGACAATTAAAAGCTCTTTTGCATAGTTTTTAAGAATGTTGTGATAGTTGAATATGTATTTGAGTTTATACTTGTTAGCTGAAACGTAAGGAAATAATTGATTCCCTCATAATCACTGTCATTATACAGTAATATAGACAGAAAGATGTGAAAACCAGTGTTATCGTACAAAAGGACCGTAAGACAATGGTCAGAGACGATAACAGTTAAAACTAGGGCCGATAATAGTAGATACTTCTATCGATTCGATTCTAACCGTCAACTATTTCGGGAACCTAAAATATCTATTTGACATGCAATAAAGAAGAATTGCTTGATGGAATCGATTATGAATTTTCACAAAGATAATATACTTTCTGTCGATGAACTTACCAATATAATTATTACGTTGATCAATATTGACTGTATCACTTAATTCATTCTGATGCTTGAGTGCGAGTGATTTTTGATGCCACTTGATGCTCTTGTTGTAGTCACCAGTCTGTGATGCCAGCTCACCAAGATCTTCATACAAAATACTGAGTAAAGGGTCATTTGGTGGAAGTTCTTTTAATAAACGAGTAAAATATTGTTCAGCTAAATCAAGTTTTCCCATTTTCCATAATACTTTTCCCAATGTTCGAAGATTTGTTTCTCCACTACCAAGTTGTTGTTTCATATACGTGAGAACTTGTTTTAAATCATGTTCATTCTCACTACACAACGTCATTTGGATGACCCATACTTGATTATCACTATTGCGTTTGACGCTGTTCAAACGAAAAATAGAACCAGGCATGAAAAGTATTTCTGATTCACCAGGAAATTCACTATGTGCACTGATATCAGCAAATGGTTTTGTAGTGGCTATCTTAGGATCGGCATAGATTTCAAATAGTACTGGTTCTAAATTGTCTGCATCATCAGGAACATTGAGAAAAACACTAGCTTGTTCATCATCAGTGCTAGTAGAAAAAAATGAATTCACGGAAATAAATTGATCACAACATTTCTGTAAAGCTTTCAGTTCACGTTTTGATATCACCTGTCCACGATAAACTCGTAGAGACTGTTTAGCTTGATACTTTTTTAATTGACGTTGTATATCAGAGATAAATGCACGAAATAAAAAAATCATATGTATATTTTCGGTGCGTAGAACCGTATTAAGAGTCTTGAAAAAGAACGATTGCCGTGTATACCACCGTAAGACTTTGTCAGGCGAATAATCCTTTTTAAATTCACGAAGATTCCTTAATTCAAAATTATTTCCTTCATATACCTTTTCACAATGTTTAATAAGCTCATTTGTATCTTTGTCAGTAGATTTTAATCGTAGAAGACAATCAATAAGAAGTTGGAAAAAAACAAATTTACCATTTACATCAGCTGTTGACTTGCCTGAATCAGACCCTATGGTGAAAACATTAATTGATAATGGTTCTTCCACCATTTTCTGAATTTTATGATCAGCTTGAATTCGAGAAATTAGTTCATCAAGTTCAACGATAACAGCTTTTACCTAGCAAGAAAAAGTTATACATTAAAATCAAAATAATTCAGTCTAATTTTACTTTTTTGAATTTGTCAGCCCATTGTTTATTACGTTTCTTATCCATGCAATACACATAAATCGATATAACTTGTCGCAGTTTATGAATAGAAGGGACTATTTCGCTTCCCAATCGACCACTAACAATCATGACAACTCGTTCATTTTGTGAACGTTCTGCAATATATTTTTGACATTGTTTTACATCTTGAAACTTTTTGAGACGATTAATGATAGAACGTAATTTCTGTTCTGTATCTCGATTATCTTTAGCGGTTGTATTATCATCGAGCCAGATAAGACAGAAAATTTCAAAACCGATATCGTCAGTGTCTGCGTGAAAGTTATCCTTGGGTACAATAGAAGTAGCCATGTTAATTAAGAAGATTGAATAGAATACAATTTTCAAATGTATCAGTGCTTTTTGAAATCTATAATGAATTTTAAACTTATTTTTATTATATTGTTTATTAGTATTCATGATGCCATATAAAAGGTTAGAAGAACAAAATGCTCGTATATGTCACAGAAAAATAGTTCTTTCTGAGCATCAACGTTCGTAGGTAAGATCATACTACCAAGATGGAAAACTTTAGCATGGAACGAAATTATTCGTGTGTTTTTCATTCTGCCATCAAACAATATCATAAACCAGACTACAGTATCTCTTTTACTAAGTTGGGTATTGTTACTTTGTAATGTACAGGTTTTTCATTTTAATCACTATGAATCATAGATATGGTTTGCTTGTTTAGAGGCTTTTCACAGAGGACTTTGGTAAATCTAGCTCATTGAATGACACATTCAAAAAATACAGTTTCATTCCTTATTGAAAAACCACTAATATTTGACAGAGTACTATAAGTTGACAATAAAAGGGTTAGTTTTGTTACAAAATAGATGAGTCCTTGTTCTATTGGGATAAATCAATCTTTCTCTTCACATATAGTGTCTACTACTAAGAAGAAAGCATCCTTGCTCAATGGAAGATGCGTCTTTCGATTATGTGGGTTTACAGTTTTCGATGACATTTTACTCATATTTTAGAGCGATGCATGAAATCAACGACAAATATGTCACATGGTGTTTATTATTTCGTATTCTATTATAATTCGACGTTATACCGTAGATACTGTTGTTAATTTTAAATGACCAAAGTGAAAAGAGAGAATTTTTTATTCGATACGCATATCATTTGATAAGATCATCATTGCATCGTAATGTCAATAATCCCTTTTGGGAAGATTTTAAGGAATAGAAAAAAAAACTTCTTGTAAATGAAACTTCTCTTTGATGAATCAAAGAGATGTAATAGAGCAATGCTACATAATTTCATTGCTAACAGGTCAAGAACGTTTTGTTTTATTACGAAACTGTACTTTACTGGAAAATCCATTTCTATTAAAGGAAATTATCAATGATTTTATCGTTCTTTTAGATAGAAAGAAAGCTAATAGCTGAGACAGAAGTTCTTCAAAAACAAAAGTTTTTATACGTATAAAAGTTTCGTAAAAATGTTGTTCATAGAGATTTTTTAAGTCTATAATCGTGCTTAGAGCGGATTAACCTGTTACAATGGGCAATTTTTTCTCAACTTATTCTTTTCCGAGTTTCTGTGATTACTTTCACCAGTTTTATCGTGTTCATCGTTCTTAATATGTTTGAATACAAAAAATTTCGGTTTAAACTCATGATTCTTCGCGGTGATTTCTAAATGTCGTTTTTTTAAGTAGATTTATCATACTTCTTATGAATTTGTTATTTAAAACTTAAGAAGATGGAGTTTTTGTCGAATCATAGTACGTTCACTGTATAAAAACTGGTAGATATAGTTAACTTTTTTTTGCACCTAAGTAATCCTTCATTTTTATCAGTATCACTTTCCAAAACTAAAAAAAAAATAAAAATCTGATTTATTAAAGATAATTAGCATATTTCGTATTCTTTGAATGAATTTTTCCCAGGTATGTATATTTATCATGATCCGTGGCTGGAAATGAAATTACAATATTAATCATTTATACGCACGTAGAAACAACAGTGAAAAGACAAAATCAATTCATTGTATTATTCAAAAGAGAACATCAATAGTATAAATCTGGTCTCTTTTCTCAGTAGAGATATGTGATATTCTTTTTCATATTCTTGCTTGTAATTATATCACATAGAGTTATAACTTATTGAGAGGAAGATCGACAAGAAAACAACAATAGAGATGCGGTAGAATACATGACAATCTCAGCACTTTTCTCAATATCTGAGTTTATTCTCTTCAATTTGAAACGATAGTTTTCTATAAAAAGACTCATCGCTTAATTCTCTACAAGACCATGTATTTCTTTCAGTGAAAGCATTCTTTACAGCTTTTCGCTGCATACCACCAGTGATAACTTGAAACTATACAATTTTTTTGGTTTTTTTAAGAAAATTTAATGTGTCACTTTTGAATTTGACTTGTTACTAATTGAGACTTCAAATTTTGATTCATATTAACTAGTCTAACTAAGTTGCAATTTAATTGCTCGAAGATCAACGATCCTTATCAATACAAGATGAAAAGCTGTGTCAAAAATTAAAAACGAGTTGAAGACTAACTCTTGACTTTATATGAAATTGCTAAAATTTTAATGTTTCCTAGAACCTATATCTCGTTCACATTTTTTAAATCATAGAAGCAGCTACCAAAAATGATAGGAATAAAGTGCTTAGCAATAGTACAAAATTGCATACATTCGCTCCATTCAGTTATGATGCCGTGAACCTTATGAATCAAAAGTATTCAGGTCATGAATAGTAAAAAACAGAAGTCCAAAAATGTGATAATATAAGTTCATAAAAAAACTAATTTAGAAAGTAGTGTATTTTTCATTCATAGTTTGTGATGTCTATCAAAAGACTCTAAAGTATGTTTACATACAATAAAACTGAAAGATTTGCTAGTGAAAAGAATCGATAGATTCATGAAAGGAACATAAACTTTGATTGAAAATATCATTAATCTATTTCTATCAATAAAGCAATGGTATAATGAGAAACCTTCAGGTAGTTGAATGCTGTCTTACTAGTTTTTGTAAGTATATTTACGATTAACGAGATTATGTTTTGTAAGTAAACAAAGGTAACGATAGTATTTCTTTTTCTTGAAACGATTGAATGGTGAACTAACTAATACAAAAGCTGTGCAAGAACTGAATTTTAACAAAGAATCACAGCCACTCGGGAACTAAAGTTATCTCTAGATAACTTGAAATCATTCTTTCTTCAACTGGCGAGAATAGTAACTTATCAATAGTTTCTATAAATGCAGTTTGACTATTTATATACCAAATAAAGTGTGTCTTTTTTGTGCAAATCACCATCTTTTTATTCACAGACAATAAAAAACCTGATTCATTCTTAACATATTATAGATCAGACATTAACTGTAGAACTCTTGATTTTTTTTGTTAGTTAATGTTTTAAATTACGTCAGTGAATAACAAATGCATCGCTTTGGTTTTTAAATTTTAGATAATACAAAAACACTACGAAATGAATTCAAACGATCAGTATCAGAAGAAATTAGAAACAAATTACCTATAAATAATTTCTTTCCTCTAATTAATAAGATAAACATGTGGTCAAAACAACGACAGTCATTGATAAAGGTGAAAACTATTTCTATGCAATCCATGAATGATGAAAGCAGTGAACATGATGCTAAATAAAATTAACTGCTGTCATTGTCTGTTTTATTCGAAGATAATTTCGAGTAAGATAAATATTTATTTGTTGAAAAAAAAGCTTTGATATTTGAAAGATTAGTATCGACTTTTTTTGAGATAATGTTGTCATAGATATTAATAATGATGATTAGTTCAAGAGATCCACTGGTCAAACAACAAATACTTTTAATTGATTCCATTATCCATGAAAATTCATTAAGAATCAACGCAGAATTTTCAAATTTTTCATCTTTTTTTTTCTTGATGAATACTACCAACACGTTTCATCTTTTTGCTGTTTGGCTAAATGTTATTGAAAGTATCGGTCTTGTAAATTTAATTGTATATTAGCTTATGCGCTAGTTATAATATATAGACAGCTAAGAGAATAACTTACATATGCAACGAAATTCATTCAGTTACTCTTATTACGACAAAGAACACTTTGTTTTATCAACACACTACAAGATGCCCTACTGGTTGATCAATGAAGTCGAGACTATAATATAAGGTAAACAGCGTGGATAATTTACGCTCGTTTTGTTTTTCTTTGCTTTAAGTATCCTCCCAATAAATTGCTTTGTGGTTATTTCACATATCATAAAGAAACTTTTAGTCACTACTTCTTTTATCTGTGCCAATTCATTATTTCGTGCTATGATGTATTCACTGAAGCGAAACAGAACGATCTGCGGTGTGATTGAAAAGCGTTGGATCCACTCAAGATTTTGCCTCAAATTCTCAACAATGAGTTGAATGTTGCCTTAGGTTTTCATATCTAAAGCCTTAATAATACAGTAAGTACATATGCTCATATTATGGAAAAGCTTCTTTTCTATTGTTTGAAAAGAATAAAACGATGTTTTTATACATATACAATGTGTACTACAATTAATTTTAACCATCAATACCATTTCGAAGAAAGATATCTCTATTATGTTTCAACGGTTTTTGAATAGTACCATAAGGAAATTTGAATCTTTTCTTTCTAATAACTCATTACTTTCTCATTAATTTGCTTGGTATGTTTTCAAACCTTGCTGTCCTTATTATACGTGACGTTCTTCTTCTTCTATTTGCTGAGTCCCTTAAATTAACCTGCCGAAATACGTCTCTTCGACATAGTTGTTTGATTCTTCATCGTTTTCCTGCAAATCTATATTGAATTTTCGGTTTCGCGCATGAATAAGAAGCTTCTCTATACCTAACTTATTCTTAAGACTCAAGGCACAAAAATTAGAGTGGTATTCATCTAGGAAAAAAGAAAACTGCTACCAAAGTTTGAGCATTTCTGAATTTATAATATGGAGCCCATCCTTAAACTTTTACTATTCTAAAACAAACATTTCGTGTGCTACTGTGAAACATGTCAATTAATTTCAAGACTATTTTTAAAATGATGAGTGTCTTTTGTTCATTTTTCTTTACATCTAATTACTTGATTATTCGTGTTATATTTTATTTTGTTTTCTCATAGTTATTATTAATTACTGTTTTTTATAAAATTTATTCCATTTCTGTTATTATGAATGCAAAACAACATATCGTCCATTCATCAGCAAGTTATATTCTGTACATATTCGTTCCAAAAAGTCCAAATGACTACTAGTTGTTTTGAGTTTTATTTCATATGCGAAAAATCAAATGAAATTCGATACGATATAAAGAT